GCTCCTTGTGGATGCTCGCGTCGGCGGGCGCGCGGCCCCGCCCTCGCCTGCCCAGCCCCCCTGGGGGCCGCGGCGGAAGGCGGCGGCCCCGTTGCCGCTTCGCGGGCCGCGGCCGCGCCCACGGCTGCGGAGCTGGCCGTCGCGGGCGCCCCCGCGGCGCGCGGCGCGTCCGAGGCCGAAGGGGTGGGCGACCGCAGTGGAGGACGAAGGGCGAGCAGGGCGGCGCGTGGGACATATGCGCCCACCTGACGAGGCACGGCCTGAACGCGGCGCCCTCCTTCCTGCTTTTCCTGGCCAGGCAGCCGGCGCCCCGCTCGGCGCTGGAGTTCGGGCGCGGCCCGGGCACCGCCTCCGACCTGGTCGAGCGTTTTGCTCCCGGGCGCCCGCAGGTCGCGCGCATGGAGCTGGGCCCTTCGCTGAGCTCGGCGCTGCTTGAGAGCGACGTGCACCGGCTGTCGGGGACATCTTCACGCCCGGCGCCTAAGGCTGCCTCCGCGGGCCCATGGGCACGCGCTTCGGCCTGGTCACGCCCTTCGAGGCGGCCGAGCACGCGCCCGCCCGTTCCCGCGACAGCCTGCTGGTTGCTCGCCGAGGCCACGCGGAGCTGGCCGGCGTTCTCTGCGGCACGGCCAGGCCAGTTCGGGAGCGAGGCTGCGGCACGGCCAGGCCCCCGCGGCCCGGGCCGACACGAGTTGTTCGAGGCGCGGCGGGCCACTGCCGCGGCTGCGACCTGTTCGGGAACACCATCGCCACGAAACGCCTTTCCAAACTGGAGACAGACACGCGCCAAGTGGCGCGCAGCCTCCGCGCCACCCAGCAGGAGCCCCCTCTCCGCGTCACTGGCAGCGGCGGGACCTGCAAGGAGATGGGCACTTCGATGGCGGAAGAGAAAAACGCGACAGGATAGCTAGACAGGCTGGAGGCACAGCTGTGGCCCAGCCACTGCCCTCAAGAAGAGCGCGCGCAATGGCGTGGCGCCCTGCTGGGCGCCTCATACGATGGCGAACTGCAGTGGCGAGAGCGGCAAGAGGCCCTGCCCGCTTGACGACGCGGCCCCGCCCCAGCCCGCCTCGGCTTTCCCGCGGGTCGCGGCAGAAGGCGGCGGGCCAGCCGCCGCTTCGCCGGCCGCTGCCGCGCCCCTGGCTACGGAGCTGGCCGTCGCAGGCGCCGCCGCAGCGCGCGACGCGCGCGAGGCCGAGGAGGGCGGGCGACCGCCGGAGACGATGGAGGGCGAGCAGGGCGGCGCGCGGGACATCTGCGCCCACCTGGAGAGGCGTGGCCTGGCAGCGACGCCCAACTTACAGCTCTTCCTGCTGGCCAGGCAGCTGGCGCCCCGCTCGGCGCTGGAATTCGGGCGCGGCCCAGGCGCCGCCTCCGACGTGGTCGAGCACCTTGCGCCTGGACGCCCGCGGGTCGCGCTTGGGGCTGGACCCTTCGCTGAGGCTGGCGCTGCTGGAGAGCCGCGCGCACCGGTTGTCGGCGGGCGTCTTCGGGCGTCGCGCCTAAGGCTGCTTCCGCTGCGACTTGGCCACGCCCATCGAGGTGACCGAGCACGCGCCCGCCCGGCTCCGCGATGGCTTGGCGCGGCTGCTCGCCAAGGCCACGCGGCGGTGGCCAGCTCGGGGCCGGCCACCTGGGCGAGCCCATGGGGCCACGGCAGGAATGACAGAGGATGTTCGGTTCGAGCAAGGCCTGATATACATGTCCTGGCTGGCGCGAGTCGCTCGAGGCGCGGCGCGTCACTGCCGCGGCTTCGCCCTGTTCGGGAACGCCAAAGCCGCGATGCACCCTTCCAACCTGGAGACAGACGCGCGCCAAGCGGCGCGCAGCCTCTGCGCCGCGCAGCAGGAGTTCCCTCCCCCCCTTCTCCGGCATCGGCGGGGCCTGCATGGAGACGGGCACTTCGATGGCGAAAAGCACGGCAGGGGGGGGGCCAGACAGGCTGGAGGCACTGCTGCGGCCCAGCTCCACTGCCCTCACGCAGAGCGCGCGCAATGGCGCGACGCCATGCTGGATGTCTCACTCGGCAGCGAACTGCGGGGACAATGGGGCAAGAGGCCCTGCCCGCTCGACGACGCATCGGCCTCGGAGCCTGGCTCTGCAAGGCGAGCGTCAGCGACGAGCGCGTGATCGGCGCGCCTGGGGGCAGGATCTTCGCGAGGTCCATCGCGAGGAGACCCGGCGAGGAGGTGGAACAATAGCCCCTTCAGCCAGATCGTGCGCGCGCCCTTCAAGCGAAGACGACCCTCGTCGAAGCTGAGCCCATCTCGGGGAAGAGGTACTTCACTAAGGCGGCCCTTGCCCGACTCGGAAGGACCCCTGAGCGCCGGGCCTGTGGCGAGACGGGCGAGTTGCGCGCGGCCGAGTGCAGGGCGCGCTTGGAGGCGGCGTTGGACGCAGAGGACGTCGCGAGGGGCTTCGCCGCGCAGGCAGGGTCGCGAGCCGAGGCGCCGCCGCCGGTCCGAGTGGCGAGCTGGCAGAGGGGTCGGCCTGGGCCCGGCCAGTCGGCAGCCAGGCGAGGCGAAGCCCCACGGGCAACGGCAGCCACTGCAGCGCCGGCGCAGCCTGCGCTGGGCGACGCCGCGGAGGCGCCTGTGGCCGCGGAGGAGAACGTTAAAGATGATGGAGTCGGAGCCGGTCCAGGTCGCCGACGGCATCGAGGGGCAGGTCCCGGGCAAGGGGGGGATTTCCCAGACTTAGAAGGCACGCGCTATCCGAGGCCCCCCCCGCGCACGTCGCGTTTCCCAGCTAGTGCAGCGCGGGGCCCGTCGAGGAGAAGGATTTGCACGACATTGAGGGCGCCCTGGTCTGGCAAGCTGTTGACTGCGAGGAAGGCGAAGGAAGGGCGAGCTCGGGGGCGCGCCGAGATGAAGGAACACAGCATCTTCAAGCGGACCTGCGCGAGCAAGGCCACAGGCAAGCGAGTGCTAAGCAAGTGGTTCCAGGATCGGATGATGGGGACTGACGCCGCGAGGTGTAGGCTCGTGGCGACCCAGGTGGCGCACCAAGTAAGGGGCGACTCGTTCGCGTGCACACCTCCCCTGAAGCCTATAAGGCTCACGCTCGCGCTGGCCGCAAGACTGGGGCGCAGCCGGAAGATCTACCTGATCGGCTTCCAGGACATCAGCGACGCTGCGATGGGCGAGGACGCCAGCGTGGTCCCGCCCGCTGGCGAGGATGAGCCGAACGTGGCGCGGCAGTTGATGAAGGCCATGAATGGGGCGAGGTGCGCGAGCAAGCTGTTCCAGCACCTGGCTATGTGAACCCTGATCGCCAAGGGCTTCACCAGGCTGCAGGGGACCGTCATGGTGTTTTGCCGCATCGGGAAGGGCATCCACGCGGCGGTGCACGGCGACGACTTCATTGCGGTGGCGACGCATCAGAATTTGCAGCGGCTCAACGAACGAGATCTTGGATCAGGAGTCTGAGGGGGAGAGATTGCCCCGCCTAGAGCCAGCGAAGGCTGGCGACGAAGCCACGTCTGGTAAGTCCATGAAGTGAGCTGGATGGAGGATGGTTTCCACTGGGAGGCCGTTGCGAAGCACGCGATCACCGCGGCGGAGGCGCACGGCAAGCTGTCGGCGGCTAGAGAGATCGCGCCAGCATCCAGGAACATCGGGAAGGATGTGTCGACGGCGCTGGACAGCCTGGGCTTCAACGCGGAGAAGCTGCTCCAGTCTGCGGCGCCGACGGTCTACCTGGCTGCAGATAGGCCAGACATCCAGTTCGCGACGAGATGGGTCATGCGCGGCGCGCACACGCCGTTGGAGACCCACGAGCTGGAGTTGAAACGGTTGGCCGCGTACTTGGCGGCTTTCACGCAGATGACGCGGCACTGCCGGTGCCAGGAGATGCCGACGGACATCGTGATCGTGACCGCCTCTGACTGGGCTGGCGACGAGGTCGCCAGGAGGAGCAGGGGAGGAGGTTTCGAATGCATCGGGTGCGCTTGCGTCGACAGCTGGGCGGGGCAGCAGGCCGCGCGTGCGCTCAGCAGCGATGAAGCCGACTGCGAGGAGATGACGAATGGAGCGGCCAGGGGGAACTGCACCGAGAACCTGCTCAATGAGATGAGGGTCGAGATGGCATGGACCGCAGCCGGCGACCGCGCGGCAGCGATCGGGACCTGCTCGCGTTTAGGCGTCGGCCGGGTCAGGCACTTGGCTACGAAGTACTTGCGGTTGCAGGAGAAGGTGGCGAGCAAAGGGGTGCGCACCATGAATGTGCCAACCCACGGAAACGATGCGGACCTAATGACCAAAACGCTGGAGCCGACCAGGCACCGCGGGTTGGCGAAGAGGCTGCTTGTGACACTGCAGTCGGCGAGGGGCTCGGCAGGGAGCTGCAGCGTGGCCAGCCCCATAGGATCCACCACGGCGAACAGGACCGTTTTCAGCGTGGTGCCCATGGTGAGTTATGCCGAGATCGTGCAGGCGCTCGAGTTCCTCTCGGGTGCGTGATTTTCCGCATGCAGTCCTTAGCCGAAAGAAGAGCCGTGCAGCACGTAGCCGCGAAGACGCACGATACGTAGCCATCTGACAGGGCCAGCACGAGGGGACGCCTTCCATAGCGTGAAGCAGGTAGAGATCGACTGCTGAGCGAGGACAGCACACGCGCGTGGCTGTTTAGCCACGTGCGAGGAGGGGTGCGAATCTTCCCCGCGCCCCCCAGGGAGGAAACATATTGCACATGACACGCTTGCTGTTACTAGCCCCTCGCAGGTTCGAGATAAGATATATATTGAGCTTTCTCGGAAACTTTCGCTCACCGCCGTCCGTTCTGGGCATTCCGAGCGGCCCCTGTGGTGTCCACCGTTTCCTTGGGGACAGTTTTTCGTCCCAGATCCGCTTCTGATGGTCACGGGGCCCGATGGTTGGCGCTGGAGGCCGAAATTGAGGACCACGCCAGGCTGAAACAGTCGTATCGTCGGAGATCTGAGTATCGGTATGTTGTCCTATCTGTTCTTCCTCTGAGATTGTTCCCCGTGCTGGAGCCCAGAGGCCGCACCCGCCGTTGCCGCGGTGGCGGAGCAGCCCGGAGGTTCCGCCTGGCCCGGCGCCGGAGAAGAGGCGAGCGGCGGCGGCCCGAAGCGGTCCGCGGCCCCGGCAGCCAAGGAGGGGCCCGCGCCCTGCAGAGGTAGGATGTTCGAAGAGTGGAGGGGTTCACTCAGGAGGGAAAGAAACACACAGACACAATTAATCGTCGATCCCCAAGAAAATATAGGAAAATCTGGGAATTGGGCGGGAAGACAAAAGCTCAAAAAATATAGGAAAATATGGGGAATCATTTTATTTGTGTGTATTTATTTGTGTGTCTCAGGGCCCCTTCATTCACCGCCCACCAAGCCACCTCAACCCAACCCGGAGGCCCCAAGTGGCCTGTCCTTCCCAGTGAGGGGGGGCGCCGGGCAACATTCCAGCACAGATGTGGAGCCCGTACCCCCCCCCCCAAAGCCGAGATCGGAGGCTTCGGGTCGGGTGAGTGTGTGTTTCGGTAGGTACAGTCAACGCGCCTAGTAAGGACGCGCGCCTTCATCTAGGATACCCTTGCGTCCTTGCCTCTGTGGCCCGTCCTTTGCCGTTTTCACGGGTCGCCGCCGCCCAAGAAATCCCAACGTCAGCCTCCAAGGGTCTTGCGTCCTTACCACGCGTCCTTAATATACGTTTTGACTGTATGTGCATGACACGTGTGTTTCTTTCATGGAGTGCAGCGTGAAGTTCCAAAGCGTACCACGTGGAGCCGTTATTGTCGGAGCTTGTGTCGTGCCTTGGCGGGTCTCCAGCCTGGGGGGATGCCTTCCAGCTGCTGCGTTTCGCCGAGAGCACTCCAGGGGCTGCCCGGATCGTCCCGAAGGCCCGCCGAAGCGCCGATCCGAGAAATCCGCGCGGACTTCCGAAAGTTTGTGTGTTTGTGGCATTTTTGTTATGTTCCCCGTGTGTAAGTTCGGCGGCGAGCTTGGGGGGAAGTGAGGAGGAGGAGGCCTTCCCAGTGGGCTCGGAAGCGTTTCGGTCTTAAGTTTTCTAAGCCTTCCCCGAAGACACAACACTTTTCCGAAGGCCAGAGTCTGTCGATCAGGGCGAGCTCGTTCAGAAGCTGCCGCGAGCAATCCATCGACTTATTCGAATCCGTGGGCCGAATCCCTGGGCATTCGAAGGATACATGGACGAAGAGGATGGATGGGGGATAAGGACAAGCAATATAGATAGAGAGGGAGAGGTGGACGGACGGGAAGTCCGAGAGAGAGAGAGAGAAAGAGACAGAGGGCGAGACATATTGTACAAATGGAGAGGGGAGAGTTGACGGAGGGATCGAGGGAGGGAGGAACGAGGAAGAGATTCGGACGAATATCCACAGTCGTTTTCAAAGCAGTGCGCTCTGGAGCACTTGGCTTGGAGAGGTCCAGCAAGCGGCCGTAAGCAGGGGGGGGGGCCTGGGAACCTCAGGAGGGGCCTCAGGTGGAACTCAGAGGTTTCGCCATCTCTCTGTGGGGATGGCGGCAGCGCGGCGGGGGAGGAGAGGGGGAGGAGAGGGGGTGGAGGAGGAGGAGAGGAGGAGGCAGAGGAGGAGGCAGAGGAGGAGGAGGAGGAGGAGGAGGAGAGGAGGAGGAGGAGGAGGAGGAGGAGGAGGAGGAGGGAGCAGGAGGAGGGGTACCCCAGGAGGCCCAGAGGCCCTGCGGACGCACTGACCCCGCGCGGCAGGGCTGGGCCTCGCCACGAGCAGAGGGCTGGGCCCCAGATGTTACAATATAGTAGGAGCGTCAGATACAGTCAACCCGCATAGTAAGGATGGGCAATCTTCCCAAGGGCACCCTTGCATCCTTGCCACCTCGGTCCGTCCTTGGCCACTTTCGTTGCCACGCTCCGCTTGAAAAGCTTTGACATGGGCGTCCAAGGCCCTTGCATCCTTATCCCGCATCCTTTGGATACGGGCCGACTGTCAGAAATCAGCCTTTCAGCAGGTGGCCCACAAGATTTTCTCACCTCTCGACTACCATTCAGGGCCACAGAGACGCCCTGGAGCACCTCAGGGGGCTCAGAGCTCGACGACGCATGTGTTTCTGGATCTCCTGCAGCAGGATTGCTTCTCGCATGCGTCTATTGCGCCCCCTTGCTCGACTGAACCCCGGCGCCGGTGTGCCCCCCTGCTCAACTCAGCCCCTTGCTTATCTCAACCCCTTTCAATACAGGGTCCCCAGAAGTCGGTGACCCTTTCCCCAGGGCCAGAGTTTCGTCCTGAGCCGTTTTTTGACGGTCCTAGCGCCCAGCGAGGGCTCTCGCCGGAAGGGCGGCAAATGTCCGTATCGTTTTCAAAACGGTGAAGGTTTGGGTTCACAGCGCAGTCTCTTTCTCACAGGCCGCGGTAAGGCTCATGATCTCGCTTATTGCAGCTTGGGTCGTGTAGCTTCGCTGGTTCGCCTATCGACCCCTTTCCATTCGCATGACGGTTGCTGCATTGTTGAGTCGAGCAGGGATGGCAAAGAGAAAAATGTTGGAGGTGTGGTTTCATTCAGCTCAGGCCCCTGCGATGGTATGTCTGGCGCACGATGGTCCAAACCCAAGCACGCAATCCGCTGCTAACGCATCCAATTCAGCAATCGGGGGACCCCAGTGAGTCCGCACAAGGGGTCTCTCCGGCGCAAGGTCACTCTCTCGCGAAGCCGATCGACTTTCAAGCACAGGTCGGCTCACTTTTCTGTGGCGAGCTGCACATCTGGTGTCGCCAGACCCCTACGTTCTTTCGCCGTGAACAAAATCGCGACGGACGTGTTTGCAGCATTTTTCATCTGACCAGAGCCCGAGACGGTCAAAAAGGAATCGCATTAAAAGCCGGTCCTGGGGAAGGGGTCCAGACCTCTTGGCGTCGACGTTGCGACAAAAAATCAAGAAGTCGGGGTTCTGGGGAGTGAGGTGTCCTTGGCCCAAGGTGTCACCTGAAGTTCCATCCCCCAGCGCACCCCTCCTCACGAGGCTCGGAGGGCCCCAGGGGCACCGAAACAGCGCGAACAGCTGGGAATCCTCAGGGCGAGGACCACCTGCAGCTTATCCCGGAGGCTACCAATGGCGCGCCCTGCCCTGGTTCACAGGGCCACGGCGGCACTGCAAGGCCTCCAGAGGCCCTCACACCGGTGAGATCCTCGATCGCCGTCTTCGTCGTCTTTGCACCCTCCTGGTGTCGGCGCGGCGGGGGGGGGGCACGGATCGCATGAGTCGGGGGGTCGTCAAAAGGGGTCAGCCCGATCTGGGGTTAGGGTGCGAGCCCGGCTGGCTGCCCGCGCTTATCTCTTCCGGGGGGCCGTTCATCGACTACACGCAGCCAGAGTGACCCTTCGCCGGAGTGACCTTTGGTGCGGGCCCGCTGGCTGTAAGCCGCGCACCGAAGTTCACTCTCGCCCAGGGTCACTCTTGCATGTATCGGCGGCGCGCCTGGGGGGGAAGTGAGAGGGGGCGGGCCTTCTCAGAAGGCTCGGAAGTCCGCCCGCCTTTGAGAAGTTTTCCGAGCCTTCCCCGAAGACGCAGAAAGCGTCTCAGAAGGCCAGGGAGAGCTTCTGAGAAGCCCCGCCGCCCTCTGAGAAGGCCTTCTCCTTCTCGCTCCCCCCCTCGCTCGCCGCCGAGTAGAGCCGAGTCCTCAGAGATTGTCTTCCAGTCCTGCCCGCACTTTTGCAGGGAAGGCGCTGCAGTAAGAAGTGCCCCGCCGGGCGCTCGGGAAGCGCTCTGGTGTTCGGGCGGCTTCCCGGGCCAGTGGGGAACTTGTTCGTGGCCGAGGCTCGCCGTGGCCAGAGCAGCCCATTCGCCCCTTACAGTGGAAACCCATGCCGAGAAACACCCTGCTTGCCTCTAGGGTGCCGTGGGCTTCTTCGGTTTCGATGGTCTTGCTACGGCAAACGTGAGGTTCCCACCAAACATCAGTGAGCGTGCTGGGGTCTCAGGGCTGGAGTTCTTGTGGAAGGTTTCCTGTGGTCGAGCTCCTACTGTACTTGGCGTTCCTGAGCTTGCTGCTGCTGAGTTTACCCACCCTGGTTGTAGGGAGAAGATCGGGCGAAGAGAACTATGCACATGCACCGATCCTGGCAAGGCCCATCCTTGACCCAGGATCGGTGCATATGCCTTCCTGGCCAAGGTAGGAGGGCGTATGCACCGATCCTGGGCTCAGGATGGGCCTGGCCAGAATCGGTGCATGTGCGCAGTTCTTTTTTCCTCTAGAAGAGGAAGAAGCAGCAGCGTTCAGGCCCATCAGCCCTGCAGTCAATGCGCTAAGGTAAGGACCGCTTTGGATTCGGAGGAGGAGGGTGCAGAGAAGAAGGAGGAGGAGGGAGAAGAGGAGGAGGAGGAGGAGGAGGAGGAGGAGGAGGAGGAGGAGGAGGGGAGGAGGGGGAGGAGGAGGAGGAGGAGGAGGAGGAGGAGGAGGAGGAGGAGGAGGAGGAGGAGGGGCCCTGGTTTTCGGGGCCGCTCCGTGGGTCCAGGTTCGCCGTGGTCAGGAAAGCACCTTCGTGTTCCTCGTTTGGCGCTCCTCCTCCTCCTCCTCCTCCTCCTCCTCCTCCTCCTCCTCCTCCCAACTCCTCCTCCTCCTCCTCCTCCTCCCTCCTCCTCCTCCTCCTCCTCCTCCTCCTCCTCCTCCTTTCCGATGAGATGACCGCGTTGACTGTGGGCCCAGGGTCCACCCGAAGCACGCCGCGCATCACCACGTGTCAGCCCGGGACGGTCCTCCTGAGGGCACTCCACCGCACCCTGCCCACGGGGGCCTCCCCACCCGGACCACCCAGAGCCCCGACGTCGGTTTTTTCGTGCACGATGTCCACCCCCAGAGATTTGGACCCCTTGATCGTGCTGTTCATCCCGAGCCGTGTTCTGACAGCCCGCAGGGACGGGCAAGGGCCCCCGGAGGCCGAGAAGCGCTAGGTATTGCCCGTCGTGATTCTGGTGTGGGCGACGAGGGCCGTGGCAGCAGCACGATGGCTTCACCGCCCCCCCGAGTGAGGGAGGGCGCGAGGGCGCGCGCGAAATCGCGCACGGCGGGGCGCGATTTGCGCGTAGTTCCGTGACCGGGCTGCTCGCTGCGGAGGCTCACCAATCACCGAGCGCGTTCCACTACTCGCAAAGTGCCTACTCGCAAACGTCCGAAGAACATATCACTGCATCAGTGTAATGTATCGTAAATCTCCCACGGCGGATCCAGGCCATTTGCGAGTAGTTACTTTGCGAGTAGTGGAACGCGCTCGTCTAACCAAGGCCAGCAGAGCCCTTCTTTTGCTCTGCCGCAGGCACAGCACAGCCAAGCAGAGCGTGCTTTTTGTCTTACCCTCTGGGCCATAGCGCGCGTGATGCCCCCTAGCCTCCCTCCCCATAACATAACGTTCAGTCGGGCATGTCCCCCTCTACAGGAGGAATATTCAAACATAGTCAAACAATTATTCTGGGGACGATGTTTCTATTATTTTTAGCTGTTTGGGGTATTTGTTCTGATTTCTCATTTTTGTTTCAAAATCGCCCTGCAGGAGGACATGCCCGACCTAACCCTACCCTCCCTACCCCATAACGTAGCGCTCCCCCCCCCTCAGTGCGCAGTGGGTCCGGCACCACATCCTTGGGGGGAGGGGGAGCGCATAACTCCCCCCTCCCCCCCCATAACGCCCGCTATGGCCGCGGATTCAAACATGCGCTCCAGGCGCCCCGCGATAGTTTCTTGCTTCCTGGTGGCCCCCAGGCGACCCACGGAAGCTCATGGGGCACCCCAGGACCCTCAAAGCTCGACGCAGCGTGTGCCCCAAGATGTCTGTACCACTTGTGATTTACCACGCTCTCGTACCCTTCGTGCCCACTGCACTCGAGGAAGTGGGCCCCCAAGAACACCTCAGAGCTCCTCCCGAAAAAAACAATCCCAAGCATTATCATGTTCCAACCTACTTTAGCCTTGGTCACCAGAAAGAACTTCGATCACCAAGAGAGTACCGAAGCCTGAGGGTGTTCACGTGTCGGGCCCTGGGAGGCGATGCTCGTTCGACATTGTTTCGATACTTTCCTTGATGCTCGAAATTGTTTCTGGGATGTGGCCCGTAAGTACGATGGGAGCAACACAACCCAAGTATCCAAATACCTTCGAGCTTCCATCCTGGAATCCCCCCTCCCCCCTCCTCCTCCTCCTCCTCCTCCTCCTCCTCCTCCTCCTCCTCCTCCTCCTCCTCGCCCTCCTCCTCCTCCTCCCCCTCCTCCTCCTCCTCCTCCCGCAGCGAGGACGGCGCGGCCGCCTCGGCCGCCGGCCCGGGCGGCGCGGCCGCGGCCCCCGCCTCGGACGCGCACGCTGGCGGAGGCCCACGCCGAGGGGGGGATCGGCGACTACTCTGGACGCCCGAAATAGCCCCAAGATAGTCTGGGACTATTATTGTTTTTTTGACAATTTTGGGGTATTTGTGGGGTATGTTTTATTTTTTGTCCAACATCCCCCTGTAGGGGGACACGCCCGACTTAACACTAACGAGATGGGTAAGGAAGGAATGGGTACAATGCCTAACAGCAGTTCCTTTTCATTTCAAATAGGAGTCGCTGTCCACGCCGCCGCGGCCTGTGTCCACTCGAGGCAGAAGGCCGCCTGCCCAACAGCGGCCGCTGTTGGTTTGGGACAACATTTGTTGTTGGGCATTGTACCCACTCTTTCCGTGCCCATTTCGGGCGTCCAAAACTACAAAGGTCAGGAGGGAAAAGCACACCCTGGCATCGCTCGGACGTGTGATTTTTTCCCCCGGCGAGGACCATCGAGGACCATCCTGGACCATCGAGCAAAAAAAACGAACACGCACGAAACCGAAGAATGCACGGGAAATGGACGTCCGAGCGATGGCGAGACACAGACACCATTAATCTTCGATTCCAATGGAAGTATGGGATATATGGGAGGTGGGGGGAGACAATCACCCAGAAAATGCCAGAACATATTGGACATCCTGGCATTTGTGTGTGTATTTATTTGTGTGTCCTTGGGCCTCCTCCAAAGGGTGTGGTTACGCCGGGGTGCGGTTGTCGAAGAAGAGAGAACGCTATGAGCATAAGCTGTTGGCGCTCCGCGCGGAGTTCTTGGATCCGCACGATCCAAGAAATCTGCGCGGAGCGCCAAAAGTTTATGCTTTCTTCTGGGAAGTTGTCTAAGCCTTCCTCAGAGACATCCAGAATTTTTGTCAGAAGGCGCAAGGGCTGCTGAGCAGTCCCGCCGCCTTCTGAGAGGGCCTTCTGCTTCTCACTTCGGGCCTCTCCTGGGGCGCGCTCTGACCAGGGCCCCGAGGCGAACGCCCGGGCGTGGCGACGACGACGACGACGACTGCGAAGACGACGACCGACGACGACGACGACGGACGACGACGACGACGAAGACGACGACGACGACGACGAAGACGACGACCGACGACGACGACGACGGACGACGACGACGACGCTGACGACGACGACGACGACGACGACGACGGCGACGGCGACGACGACGGCGACGCCTTCGCTCGCCGCCGAGCAAAGGACGCGGTTGCGCTGGGGTGTGGCCTGCGATCGGCACTGCCGGGGCCTCGTCGGGCCTCCTCGGGGCGCGGCGTGGAGCTCCGTCGAGGTCCCCAGGGCGAGGAGGAGGAGGGGGAGGGGGAGGAGGGGGAGGAGGAGGGGGAGGAGGAGGAGGAGGAGGAGGAGGGGAAGGAGGAGGAGGAGGAGGAGGAGGAGGAGGAGGAGGAGGAGGAGGGGTGCCCCCCAGCCAGTTGCAAGCCGCACCGCTGGCAAACCGCACCCCTCGGAGTCGCCGAGGGGAGGCAGACAAGAGTGCCAGCTGCACGGTCGGGGGCGGACGGGGGGGCAGGTCGGCCCACGCAGAGCGTGCCCGCTGCAGGGACTGGTCTTAGGTCGGGCCTGTCCTCTACAGGAGGACCATTACTTATATAATACAGATCCGTAAGGGCTTGGCCCCCTGCCGCCGGCCCCCTCGCTCTCTCTCTCTCTCTCTCTCTCTCTCTCTCTCGGAGAATGGGCCATGGAAGAGCGAAGTCATGAGGCTTTGGCTTCGCCGTGAAGCAGTGTCGGGACCTGTCTGTTTTTCGGCCCTGACCCTACGGATCTGCATGAGGGGTGCCGCCGAATTTCAGAAATGTGGCAAATCCCATGTGTTTTTGGACCTTGACCCTGCGGATCTGCGTGAGGGGTGCCGCCGAATTTCAGAAATGTGGCAAATCCCACGTGTTTTTAGACCCTGGACCCTGACCCTGCCGATCTGCGTGAGGGGCGCCGCCGAATTTCAGAACTGTGGCAGATCCCTTATGTTTTTTGACCCTGACCCCGCCTATCTGCGTGAGGGGTGCCACCGAATTTCAGACATGTGGAAATTCACATGTGTTTTTGGACCCTGACCTATGGGGCCACGAACCGTTTGAAGGGTGTGCCGACATGAAGCGGCAGCGCCATGCGGACCCTGCCACTGGGGCCTTCGGTGGGGCTTCCTATGGGGCCACGAACCGTGTGAGGGGTGTGCCACAATGGGGCAGCAGCCATGCGGACCCTGCCACTGTGGCCGTCGGTGGGGCTCCCCATGAGGCCACGAACCGTTTGAGGGGTGTGCCGAAATGGGGGTGGAACCGCATGCGGGCGCCGCCGCTGGGTCCTTCGGTGGGGCTCCCCATGAGGCCACGAAGCGTGTGAGGGGTGTGCCGAAATGGGGGTGGAACCGCATGCGGGCGCTGACGCTGGAGCCTTCGGTGGAGCTCCCTACGGGGCCACGAAGCGTGTGAGGGGTGTGCCGAAATGGGGGTGGAACCGCATGTGGGCGCTGCCGTTGGGGCCTTCGGTGGAGCTTCCTATGGGGCCACGAACCGTGTGAGGGGTGTTGCGAAATGGGGGTGGAACCGCATGCGGGCGCTGCCGCTGGAGCCTTCGGTGGAGCCCCCTATGGGGCCACGAACCGTGTGAGGGGTGTGCCGAAACGGGGGTGGAGCCGCATGCGGGCGCTGACGCTGGGGCCTTCGGTGGAGCTCCCTATGGGGCCACGAACCGTGTGATGTGTGTGCCGCAATGGGGGTGGAACCGCATGCGGGCGCTGCCGTTGGGGCCTTCGGTGGAGCTCCCTACGGGGCCACGAACCGTGTGAGGGGTGTGCCGAAATTGGTGTCGATGGTGGCAACGAGAACGGATGGGAGATGAGGGGGGGAACAGCGGGAGTGAACGCGGGGCGTTGTCTCTTCAAAACGAGGACCCAACACAACAGGATGGTTGGGAAAAAATATGCAATACCGAACAGTATATAGTTCGAGATGTTTGTTAGATATGTTGCAGATTCAGCCGCAATGTCCAGCTCGCTTCTCGTACCTCGAAGACGCTTCTCGTCATCCGCCAGCGAGCTTCCCGGTGCAGTTCCTGCCCCATTAGTTTTTGTTTGCCGCCAGCAAACGGTCCACGCCGGAGGCGCTTCCCGTCAGACCTCGTGCCGGCCCGCGTCGTCCTGAACGCAGTGGGAGATCAGGATTTGATTTGTTTGTTGTTTCTTCTTTTCTGTGTTTGTTTCTTTTTCTGTTTTTTCTCCTCATTTTTTCTTTTTGTTTATTTTTTGTTCGCAGAGGGAGGGCTCAGAAGGGGCCAGGTAAAACAGGGCTAGGATCGGGACAAATCGCTCCAGAGCGTTCCGGAGCGCTCTCCGAGCGTTCCGGAACGCTCTGGAGCGGCCGCGGCGCCCAATACATCCTCCAAACTCGCCGATTCTCAGAGATTTCGAGTTATCCCGATCCGATTTTGTCCCGATCTTCGCATCGTTTTACCAGGGCGCGGACTCCCGAACGAAAGCGGCAGGCGCTCCCGAAGAGCTCCGAGGCGGGGAGGGACGGAAGCCGCCCGCGATGCCTCCTCTCGGCACGCGCCGGGCCTGCCCGAGCGGCGCAGGGCTCGCACTGTAAGTCCAGCCCTGTCCTCGGCATCGCTCGGACGTGTGCACTTTTTTCCTTCGGCGAGGACCATCGAGGAGCATCCTTGATTCGGGGGCGGAAAAGAGGGG